TTATTATCTATAACAGAGTCTATAATTTTCAAATAAAATTTAAAGCCGTCAGAAATCTGTAGCTACATGAAATCAATAAAAGAATTAAAATCACGTTTTGTCCCCCCCTCTTTTTCTTTGCAACCATCAAATAGCCACTTCATATAGTTGATTTACTGTATTGTACTAAAAATGCGATTTTCATAGGAAATCGCTTTTAATATAATGGTAATTCTATAGGCGCAAGCCACCTTTTCATTTTTTAATTTCATAGCATATATCATTTTTAAAGTATTTTTTGTGCAAATCAACCTCCTATACCATTTTTAATCAAGTTTTTTTTCCAGGAATCGGACCCTATCTAGCTTAACCTCAATTAAGGACCATCCCTCTAACTATATTTGATATTGATAACTAAACTATAACAGCAAAATCGAAAAAAACCTGCACCTAATAAATAGGCCTCAGGGTGGATGTAAAACAAAAAAAAAAAACTTTAAAGATGGTTTTATGTAATAAATTGGAAAATGAAAAGACAGTTATCTATATAGAACGACCATATTTTAAATGTTGTTAGAGTCATAGATAGCATGCGGATAGCACTCTATTCTATAAGAATAACGCCACTATTATTTTATAAGCAGCCATTTTGTAAAGTAGCTGTTGTAGTAAAAACCAACAGCCGAAAATTGCAACAAAACGAAAACTGTAGCGATCAATTTGTTCGTCTTCCTAGATAAATTTTTTCCACACTCTTGTGCGCATGTATGCCGGCTACAATTGCCCGAGCAAAGCTACCGCCTACAGTTGCTGGATCATGGACGGACCCGGTTCCCGTCTTCTTGTTTTGGCTAGCCTAGCAGATTGAGACATCACAACCGAGAAAGCAAAGTCCCATGACATTCATGCAGCAGGCGATGCGAGGGAGATCCCGAGTAGAGGATCCGCGCCGAGATGCAGGGTGAGAGAGCAACAAAATCTCCGTGAGCTTTTGGCCGTTCATGGCAAATTATTGTCTACTTCGCAAT